CCGGCCGCGCCCCCCCCCCACCCGCTTTCTCCCCGCCAGAAAAGATTGCGGAAAGCAGTGGCCCCTTCGGCTGCCAGGGAGGCTTCCACCTTCCACCACACGTGCCATGATGGTGCCCTGGCAGCAAAGGAATCGCCCTTTCAGTGCCCCACCATTCAAACCCAAGGTGTTCTCCTTCCCTTCAAAGGACCGGAGGGTAGCTTGGGATGACTCGGCCAGGGCGGGGAGGGTGCCACCCAGGGAGGCCGTGCCAACACAGGGCAACTCCCACGCCTGTCCACTCACCGGGTTGCCTTTGGTGCCCAGAAGGCCTTCTCTGCCCGGATGGCCCTGCAAGAAGAGGGCAGGGAGTCAGTCAGCCCCAGCCTCTCAGGAAATCCCCAGTTGGGGGGCAGATGCTGCTGTGGGGCCTCGGACGAACCCCGCCTGCTCCTTGGTCTCTGCCAGGGAAACACGGGCAGGGCTGCTCCCCTACGGACACAGGCCGCTCTGCCCCACAGCGGACCCGCAGTCCCCGTTCCTCCCTCCATCCAGGGCAAACCACAGGAAGGCCAGCCGGGACTTTCGCGCCCTCTGGAAAGGCTGCTTGCGGCCGGCTCCCTTTGTGCTCCGAATGGGGCAGGCACAGTCAGGGCGATGGGGGAGACTCACCGGGGGGCCATCAGAGCCGGGCATCCCTGGAAGGCCGGGTTTCCCTCGGGGGCCCTGGAAGAGACGGGGGACCACATTGGACCCAGAAGCCAGGATGCCCACCTGGGGGGCGGCGCTGTCTTTCCCCACCCTGGGCTCTGGCATCAGAGGGCCGCCCTGCCCATCCGCCCTCTCACCTTTTCCCCGGGGGGGCCCATGGCGCCTTGCGGTCCCGGCAAGCCCTGGAAGCAGAGCAGGAAACGCAGAGTGAGAGGCGTCTCGGGGGTGAGCCCCAGCCCCATCCCAGGCTGGAGACCTCCTCCCCCCCAGCTGCCCCTTAACACACACCCAGGCTGGAGACCTCCTCCCCCCCAGCCCAGAAAAGCAGCTTTGGGGAGCTCGGGAGGGACTTTGGGTCGCTAATGGAGGCAGAGGCCCTTCGGCCGGACTGGAACCAGGTGGAGGGAGCAGAGCTCAGATCCCCAGGGACCATGCCCCAGCCCGCCTACCTCGCAGGGCTGTTGCTGGGGAGGCAGACTGGAGGGAGGAAGGGGAATCTAGCAAACCAGCCACCCAAGGAGGGGCTTCTCCGCCACCCCACCCGGCCCTGAAAGTTGTGGGGAGAGACGAGTGGGGCTGCCCTTGGCCCCTCGCCTGCAGTTGCCCTGCGAGGAACCTGGCAGCGGGAGGCACACTCTAGCTCTCAGGACACAGGCAAGGCCGCAGAGCTACCTCTGCCTCTCAATCCTACATCAAACCTCCATCGTCAAAAGCAGTCTAACTTTACACATCAACAACAACGGGGGCAGGCTGCTTGAGAAGCAGCCCCAGATCTTAGCACGGCCTGCCGCCCACGCCAGTCACTCTGGGCAGCTCCCTCCCCCGCCCACCTCTGACTTACCTGAGTCCCGGGAGTCCCCTGCTGGCCAGGGGGGCCTGGTTCCCCTTGCGGACCCTGGTTTAGATAAACGGGGCTTGCGTTAGATCGAGCTGCTCCCCGGGGGCCTTTTGGACGTGTCCATGTTATTTTCCTGGCAGCCAGAATTAAGCAGCTTCCCTGGCCTGTTTTTGGATCTCCAGGTGGTGTGCCTCCCAGGAAGTAATCCCACTCAACCTTCCCAAATCAGCCCCAAAAAAGGAAATTCTGGAAGGGAAGGGCTGGAAGGGAACGTGGAGACCGCCCAGCCCAACCCCTGCCCAGGGCAGGGATCTACTACTGCGCCTCCTGCCCGGCCCCTGTCTCTGAAACAGAGGCCCCCCCCTTAACCACGACCCCCCAATTCCCTGGGACCCTGGACTGCAGCTCCCATCATCCCCAGGCAACTAGGACTACGCCTGCAATCGCACCACCAGGATGAAGGGCGGCCCCTCAACGGACTCGCTTCTGGGGCTGGCCAGGCTGTCCCGAAATCTGCACCAAGGGGCCCGAACCGAGCATCGCGTGGGGCTCCGTCGCGCCACGAGGGCTGCCCAGCCCAGCCAAACGGCCGGATTCCCGCAAGAGGCAAAGTGTCAGAACCCCCCAATCTGGACCAGTGCTTGGGGCGAGGGAAGGTCTCACGCCTACGCAGCCGCTAAGGACTGCTGTGCGCAGACACGCACTCGGGTCTCTTTAGATCGACATCGGCCTGGGCCCAGCTGCGTAACTGCCCTGCTCTGTGGTCGCCGGGTGGCGGGTCCTCCAGCTGCTGATTTGGGAAGGGGGCTACGTCTTCCCTAGAAGGCTCTTTTCTGGACACCGAGGCCTTGGAAGCTGCTCTCCCCAAGCTCCGACACCCTGGGGTGGCTTGTGAGGAAGGCACTCTGTGCATGCTCGGCAGCTCCTCGACGTGCACCAGCACAGACTGTCTGTTAAAGCAGCCAGGCTGGGTCAGCCCCGGAGCCCCAGGAGGGGCGGATGAAATACAGGAGGGAACACACTGGGGATTGAACCACTAGAAAACATGGACGTTGCTCTGGTTTCAGCCCACCGAGCTGGTCCAGAGAAGGCCTCTGCCACTTACCAGACTGCCCTTTGGCCCGTGGGGGCCATCCACGCCACGCACGCCCTGCCAAGTGAAACACAGGCCCAAGGTGGCGCTCAGCAGCAGGGCCAGAGGGACCCCTGAGGGTGAGGGACCGTCTCCCCTCCCAGCACTTACCTGTGGCCCCAGGATCCCTGGGGGCCCTTTGGGGCCCAGCAAACCTCGCGGTCCCTGCGAAGAAAAGACATGATGGGGGGAGAAGAGTCAAAGCAGAGTCCCAGGGGTTGACCACACCCCCCACCTGTTCCCTCCAGGGAGCCCCAAGGCACAGATGTGGGGAAAAGGCCACAGGTTTTAAAAATGCCATTTTGCAATGCAAGTGTGGGAGGATGCTGGTTCGGAGAGGAAAGCAGCCCCCCAAGGCCTCGGGATACATCGTCTTGCGGCTCTTTCCGGACGAGAGGAGGCTGGGCACAGGTGGGCAGCTGAGGTCAGAAGCAACTGAGGTTTGCAGAACCAGGGCGGTCAAAAAGAGCTCCACACTGCCGCCAGCTCTCCGTGGTCATCCTGGCTGCCGGCAGGCAGACCCTGGCCTGGTTTTAGGGGGCGCTAGCAGCAGACCCGCTGCCAGAGAGGAGGGACCCTGCGATGTAACTCCCAGAAAGGGGGCCTGGGGCTGGCTGGCCCTCCGGGCTGGGGACGCTACGCACCGGTTCTCCGGGAAGGCCGCGCGGCCCTATTTCACCATCGTCTCCCTGCAGTCAGAGAAAAGGAAGAGCGTTCACAAGGGGGGGAAATGGACTTGCATTTTTACCAATTTGCCCGTTTAGAGAGGCAGATGGAAACCCTCCGGGCAGAACCCCACCCCCTAAGAACCTCCAATGGGTTCACATGAAAGCCCAAGCTGCTAGTCCTCAAGGTGGGGAAGATTTTTTTTTAGAGGGGACATCTCAGCAGTCCATTTTACGTGCCCTGCTGGCTACACCCTCCTCCCCCCACTCGCAGGCCATACCCTCTCGCCGTCTTCTCCTGGGGGTCCAGAGACGCCTTGTGCGCCGGGGTCACCCTGCCAAGGACAGAAGCAGCACGGTAAGCAGGCTCGCCAAAGGGAAGGGTGCCCTCTGCGACCCCTTGGGGTGAGCCTGGCACATGCCCCCCACCTGCCCCACCCCCCACCCCACTCACCCTGTAACCTTTGTCCCCCGGAAGGCCGGGCAGCCCGTCGAAGCCCCGATCGCCCTGCAGGAGAAGAGCGTGAGAAAGAGGGGCCCCGGCACAGAACGGGGCCACACACCCCAAGGGACCCCCACAGTCCGGGGCGACAAGCCCACCTACCCCAGGCGGCCCTTCCTTGCTCACGTGGGGAAGAGCGGCAGAGAACCGCCTTCACGTAGGAGGCCCAAGTGAGGATGGGAGAGCCGGGTTCAAGTCGCCCTCCTTTGCAGAAACACACAGGACGACTTTGGGCCAGTCTCTCCCAACCTGCCCTACAGGGCTGTTGTTGAGGGGATCTCACAAACAGCCAGCAGGGGGAGCAAAAGGCAGATCGAAATCCAACAGAGATACATTAACCTTGTTTAGCTTTGCAGGTCGTGTGGCAACCAGGTTAAGCTGGTCGAACATGTGCTATCCGCAGGGAAATCCTGCAGGTGATGCACGTGGGGGCTGGAGGAATTGGGGGGCACAACGTTTGCATAGCTGGGGAGATAGTTTGTTGCTTGCGTATTGAGGGAATTTGTGTTGTGTGTCTGTGCGTGTGCAGAGATATGCCACTGCGGTGTGTGGTCATGCCCCCAGTCTTGCCACTTATGAGTCCCACCTTGGGGGGGGGGCAGCCAACCCCCCCACATTGAGCCATCTCGGGCGATGGAGCCCTTACCTTTGGGCCGGCCTCTCCAGGCATCCCACGTGCCCCGTCTGCGCCAGCCCGGCCCTGTGGGACACAGAGGGGGTCAGGAGGAGCCCCCCTTCTGCTGAGGCTTTTGGCCTCCCCCCCATCTGCTGTTCCATCACAGTCACACAACCTTTGATCTCCCTCAATTAAGAAGACTGTACTTACTCGGCGGCCGGGCTTTCCTGGGGGGCCAGTCAGTCCCTGTGGCCCCCGGAGCCCCTGGGGAGAGACCAAGTCTTAGTGGGGCAAAGGGGGCAACCTGCCTGGGGGCCTACTCAGCCAGCCAGGCTCCCAAGGGGGGCTCCACCTCCAGAGGAGCTCCGTGGCTGGGCCCAAGACTGTGCCCCAATTCCCGGCTGCACATCGGCCCCTCTTCCTCGCCAGAGCAGGGAGCAGGAGGGCGGCAGTTGCCCCAGGGACCAAAGGGGCCAGGGGGGACCCGCTGCTCAGGTCCATGTTACCTGGGGGCCAAAATCTCCAGGCTCTCCCTTCACGCCGGGACCTCCGGCTTGACCCTGTGAGAGAGAAAGCACCACGATGTCGCCACAGCCGAGCCCCTCGCAGGGGGGGTGGAACGCAGCATGCAGCCTCCCCAACCTGGCGCCCGCCAGAGGCCAAAGCCCTGGCAGGCCCCCCTGGAGGGAAGCCCTGTCGGCCAAGTGAACAGCACAGAAGGGGCAGAAACGCCTGTCTGGACCCGAGGCCTGCCCGTCTCCGTGCCCCCACTCACCATGGGCCCAGGGCGGCCGGTGTACCCCATCGGTCCTGGAGGGCCACGCAAGGCCAGCTGTGGCGAGGGAGGAAATGGGTCAGGCGAGCACCCCAAGCAGAGACCCCCCAAGAGACCTTGGAGCATCAGGTGCTGGGCTTGGGGGTCTTCTCTCACCCCATTCTGGAGGGTTCCTGTTAGCTGCCCCCCAACACAAGAACCTCTGGCCCCATTCACACAACACCCTTAACTAGATCATTTGTACCACTCGCTAATCTGGGCTAGTTTGAACCTTGACTGGTTTGGGGCTTTGCCCTTCGTGAGACTCAAACCTGTGGGAAAAGGGGTCTGCTCTGGACTCAGGCCCAAGGCTTGCATGACCCCCCCAGTCACCCCCGCTGCCCTTGCTCCCCACAGAGATTCCTCGGGCACCCTTCCTCTCGCTCCTCTCCCCTGCGCACCCATCATCTGGCCCACCTCTGGAGGCGCCAGGGCCTCCAAAAGGGGACCCCACCTAGGTTTATTCCAGGGGCACCCAGAGGCTCAAAAGAAGCAGGGCACTGGATCGGGGGCAGGGATGGCTCCAGGGATGGAGAGGCCCGTTTCCCCCTTCCAAACCCTTTCGGTTCCCCCCAGTCCTCCAGTTCAGCTGCTACTCCCTCAACGTGGGCCCACAGCCTGAGAAAGGGGGCCGCCCCACCCCAGCCGACTCACGCGGGCCTGCTGCAGGAACGCCTGGGCCTGCGCCTCCTGCGCCATCGCGACGGGTCCCTTCTGGCCCCCGGTGCTCCCGAAACGGAACTGCAGTCACAATGGGAGAATCGAGTGAGGTCTCGCACGAGGAACGCGAAGCCGGAAGAGCCGGCTCCTCCTCGATTCGCAGGCAGAACCTGCCTCCACCCGGACGCCCCCACCAGTCCACCAGCACGTCCCAACTCTGGCCATGCACACCATTTCCCGGCCCGCTCCGGACTCACCGGAAGCATCATGGAGGTGCCGGGGGGACCCGGGCGTCCGTCTGACCCAGGGAACCCGGGCCGTCCGGGGGGACCCTGCAAAGGAGGCAGAGAGGCCGGAGGATCGCGTCTGGGAAACGCGCAGGTATGCACGAGGCATCACACCCTCTGAGCCCAAACACGCTCACCACCCCTGACCACGACCCATGGGGGAAGGAGTCCACAACACGGTGCCCTCTGGATCGGCTGGACTACAAGCCCCATCGTCCCCCTGGGGACAGGAATTGCAAGCCAGCCCAGCTGGAAGGCAGGAGGGCAGAGCGGTCTCTTCTCACAGGCAGCAATTCACCCGCAGGGAAAAGTCCATGGAGCGGAAAACAGGGTCCTTCCATCCGCCCTACTCTGAAGAAGCCCTCCGGATCTTGGCACCGGGCCTTGACCTGCTTCCTGAATCTCATAAGCTGAACTGCCAACAGGGAAAAAGCACCCTGGTCCGTGCGCAGAGTGCCCTTTTCTTTGGCCCAGGAATGATTGGGGTCTCCATGATGCAGAGGGACAGAGACCCTTCGGATGAACCCTGGCGGGCTGCAACGGACCTGCGCGACCTCAGGAGCTGCAGACCCGCCTGCCTGGCAGACACGCACAGCACCAGGCCAGCCCCTGGGCCATCCTTAGCCCTGCCCCCGCCATCCCACCTCCCCTTCTGCCCGGGCGTGGCGCTCTTCCTGAGGCCCGGATTCAGGCCCCAGCGAGGCTCCCCACTCACCCTCTCCCCGGGGTCACCGGGAGGTCCGGGGGTTCCCTGGGTGCCGGGCGGCCCGCTGATGCCCTGCGGAAGAGAAGACATCTCTCCATCTCTGCCCCCTGCCCACGCCTCCCACCCCCAGCGCTGTGCAGCTCCCTTACCGGGGGTCCTTCGGAGCCGGGGGGGCCCGCCACTATCATCCCCTGCGGAGGAAAAAGGAGGTCAGGCGGGCAAAGAAGACCGTTTTCCTTGGCCAGCAACATTCACGAAGAGACCCCCCCCGCTGGCGACGCCATCCGAGGCTGGAA